AGATCGGCGAGGGCACATATGGACAAGTAAAGAATAAAACTATTATTTGTTTAATATTTTTGTTTTGATTTCTATGATTACTATCTTTTTTACTAAACTAGGTATATAAAGCTCGTGACCATCACACTAATGAAATGGTTGCGCTGAAGAAAGTGCGTTTGGAGCACGAGAAGGAAGGCTTTCCCATTACTGCTGTGCGTGAAATTAAAATTTTACGCCAACTGAATCATCGCAATATTGTGAATCTTCATGAAATAGTCACAGACAAGCAAGATGCTTTAGAATTTCGAAAAGATAAGGGCTCATTCTATTTAGTATTCGAGTATATGGATCATGATTTGATGGGTCTGCTAGAATCTGGCATGGTCGACTTCAATGAAGAGAATAATGCCAGTATTATGAAGCAACTTTTGGATGGGCTCAATTACTGCCATAAGAAGAATTTTCTTCATCGTGACATTAAATGTTCAAACATCTTAATGAATAACAAGTAAGTAACTGACTTATGAAGGCCAGGGTTGCGTATTTTTTATTTCAGAATTTTGTATTACAAGCTAAATTTTTTTTTGATTCCAATATTGGGATTCAAAACTTCTTTTTTTCATTTTTAAATCCTWATTTTGGGATTAAAAATTAAATTTTTTAGAATTAACATTAAATCGGTATGTGGAAATAAAATTATCATTGTTTTAATTTCGCATATTTTTATTTTAATTCAAATGTTATTAATTATTTGCAGCCCTGGTGGTGGCCAAATTTTTTTTTAATCTCTTATTACGTTGTTGCTACATAATCGAAAAAAAAATATTTCACTTATAAAAAAATCTAAACTTTTCATACATTTTGCAGAGGTCAAGTAAAACTTGCCGATTTCGGTTTGGCACGTTTATACAATGCCGAAGATCGAGAACGTCCATACACTAACAAAGTTATAACTCTGTGGTATCGCCCACCGGAACTACTACTCGGCGAAGAGCGTTATGGACCAGCGATTGATGTTTGGTCATGTGGTTGTATATTAGGAGAGTTATTCGTTAAACGACCACTCTTTCAAGCGAATGCCGAAATGCCGCAATTGGACACTATTTCCAAAGTCTGTGGTACGCCCGTGCCGGCAGTGTGGCCAAATGTAATCAAGCTACCACTCTTCCATACATTTAAGCCGAAACGCCAGCACAGGCGACGACTGCGCGAAGATTTTGAATTCATGCCAATGCCCGCTTTGGATTTACTCGATCGCATGCTGGAATTGGATCCGGATCGGCGCATCACCGCTGAGGAGGCGCTTAAATCACCATGGCTTGTTAATATCAATCCCGATGAGTATGTTTTTCATGATTGCGGAATATAGATTATGTGGCATTACAGTTACTACAAGAAATCCGTTATCTTAATTTACACTTTTATGCAATAAGTAAATATTTGTTTTTGCAATATCTTACTTTTTTTTACTTTCTGCAGAATGGCTATACCAAGGCTGCCTACATGGCAAGATTGCCACGAATTGTGGAGCAAAAAACTACGTCGTCAAAAGCGCGAACAGGGAGACGCAGGCACACTGTGAGATTACATCTATTCCATGGTGGCCACGCCGGTCATTAATTCTGAGATGACCCAGCGCTTGGTGGCTGACAAAGTGACAGRTAACACACAACAATTGTGTATATAGCGGGTGCAACAACAACAATATAAACAATCATTTCACAAATAAATTGATGGCGCTGTGTATGCAGGAAACTAATACCAACGACAATATGGAAAACTGTCTCAATTGGATCTAATTTTAAATGTAAGATGGTAAAAGATTTAGCGCAGCTGTTATTGTTGTATCTAACGTGTCGGAAGTAAGAAGTGTTGAAAGCTTAGCAAATACACACAATTTTCTTCATCCTTTATCTATAGTAATTGTAATTGATTCACGACATTTTAGGTTTTTTTTATAATAACCATTATAACTTACTATTTTTATTATTACCATATTATTAGTAATGGCATCAAGTTAAAGCGTAAACTAAATTATAATTAGTTTTAAAGCAACGAAAAGGATAACTTAAATAACACTAAGAAATCATTAAACTTTGTAAGCCAATTACAAAAAAAAAAAAAGAAGCAAGAGCAAAATAATATAATAAATGAATATCAAGATCTACATAAACATATTTAAGTATATGCGATTTGAATGTCTCTTTTTTAGCACCTTTTGGGGTGTATTTAATGAAATTATATTAGAGCACAAACGCAGAGAACAAAAGTTCGTTAAAAATGGCAAATTTGTAAAAAATGTCCCGTATATATGCATACTATTTACTAAGTAAAATAACAACAAAGCATATTCCGAAAGTCTGACAGGTGACTGGTAAATTATTTATGCTGCAACAAGTTAATGAATTTCTAACAAAAAACACTGTAAATAATAATTAAGAAATTTCAATAGTTGCACACAATTTCATTCGCATGATATCGTCTCAAACCTATTTTATATGAGTAACGAGTTAATCTTTTTGACACTTCAGGAACTGTAACTATGTTTAATTTTACATTCAAAGCATAATTATGTATGCAATAAGGACTTTCGTAAATCCATTAACTACTTTTATATATGTATGTGTGTTACATATGTACATTAAAAATTTGTAGAATTAACTTAAATGAGTGGAACGTTGCAACTACATATTACTGTAAATCATGAATAAATAGCAGCAATTTTAAATTTAGTCAATAAAAATTACAAAAAAAAAAACCAAACGTATTAAAAAGGGTTTATTACAATGATAAGTGCATATGTTTCTTAAGAGTTGTGTGATAGTTCTTTTAAATTTTATTTTCTTTTTTTTTTAATAATTTATCACACAATATTTTCTTTAAAAAATGCAAAATGGTTGTTTTGGGAAATGGGCTTAACAGTGACCAATTTCGGTATGTATTAGGTGTTCCTTAGACTTGCTATAAGTAAGGCGCACATGCCTTTTAAATAAATTCGTAACAACAGTGAAATAAATATTTTGAATATAATTAGAAGCGCGTCATTATTGTGTACATACAAACACAGTTGTTTTATAACGCGTTCACCAATTAATTTAATTTTTGCAAAGTTTTATTTGTTGAGTAAGTAGAATTTGATATAAAACTCAGATAAAAAGCAATCGCCAGCTATTTAGACCTTTACACTTTTCTCATTTCAAGAGTGCGTCTTACGCTTAGTCCTGTAAAAAAATAATTACAGARTAAAGAAATTGCCGGTCTAGCATCATTTTGTTTCGTAATTAAATAACTATTTTAAATGACCTAAATTTAGTATAGTATGATAATAAATTAACGAAAACCATTTTTTTTTTTTTTTGAAAGCGTCAAATAGTAGGATGTCCCTTTATGGTTTGTTTTATCGATCTTGTATATGTATTTTTTTAAATTTTTATATGAGATAGCGGTCTTAAACATTGCACAAGTGCGCAACTCATGATAATATTGTTAAGACCAGCGATGAAGTTGAAATGGAAATGGAAATATAGAGAAAATTCAAGCAGTGTAAAGGTTTGAAGCATTCGAAATATATATTTTTTATAAATTGGTGTAGCACAATAGTATAAACATTCATATTAGATCAATATCGCATATACATATATTGAATATAAACTGCAATAGCAATTAAACAATTATAAACTATAAAAACGAGGTACTAAATGTAATATAAGTAATAGGTTAAACAAAAATCAAAATATACATGCATATTTCTTAATCTTAAGTAAAGAATGAAATTATAAGCTAAAAAGTCAATAATGGGTGCATGTGAGACTGAATACAAGAAAATAAAATATGGAATATAAAACTAAGAACTGAACACCTTATATCTCAACGAATGGATATTGTTGGCATTAAATAACTGACATTGTGTAAAAACTCATTTATTAAATAATATAAATATGTAATTGTATGTAATCTATGATAGCTGAAAAAAACTGTACGTAAATTTAACCGCTTAAAAACTATTGTCATTTTGTTACATTAAAATAACAAGAATATATATATATTACTGAAATATCTCATTTCGTGTTTGTGAGAGAGCAGAGGAGAAAATAAATACAAAAAATTAATGAAATTACATAAATATATTTAATAATTTTAAACATGTAAGTACATTTCCATTCTAWACTTATTTTTTTAATATACACACTCTTTTTAAACACATATTCTGTTATACATACTTACATTTGGTTACAATCGCATAAGCATATTCGGTTATGCTAACCTGTTGACGTTGAATTTTAGTCATAATTAATAAAAACTCCAACAATATTTACCTTGACATACATTCATACATTAATTTAAAACACGTAAATACAGATGATTGACATCAATAATAACGGATAGRCTATAACAACAAACCATGAGATAATGTGACAGCCAACAGCTGTTCCTCTCCCACTTTTCCTTTGTGTTGTATTACATCGTCYTTTTTTGTTTTGTTCTGTTATTTATCACTTTATCTCATCCACATATTAGCTCGTGGATATATGAATATCCCTATATATATATGAGAGGTTTATTTATACGCATAATCATCTTTTTATATCATTCTAACAAAATACAAAGTGTTAAAACATAATATTTTATTTACATATACATATATTTAGACAAACGCAAATATGCACTCAAAACTGCACTATTTGAGTTTATAAAATAGTACATATTTAAGCATATCTGGAATTCTACTGCACTAAACCTGCATATGATATGTGTAGTTGTTGAATTATACATTTGCTGCAGAAATAGAAAACGGGTCAATAGTTAGCATGATTATTTTATAAAACATTTAATGATTATATAGAAACAAGAAACTATTTTAAAACTATACTTATTGGAAATTACTATTGCTTTACAGTAAATATTCCCTGTCGAACTATAATACTTAAAAAGTACGCTTTCCAAAACTAATATGCAACCCTAGGCGAMATATATACCAAACGAAAAGTGTTCGGTATGCAGAAGGAATAGTGGTGAGCAGAAGAAAATATAGTAGTTCTTTGTTTCGTCATCGGTTTTTAACAATTTTTGAACATTTAACTTGTGTATTTGTGGTGAAAAATATGAAATATYGGTAGTAGAACAAGTAAATAATAATAATTCATTAAATATTTATGTGAAAAACATAAGCGACGTATGAAAAAAACACACTTTCGTATGTGCTGCAGTTGGATATGGAAAATAGAAAAAAACTTACATTGCATTTGGTGAATATGGAAAAAAGAGAAGTAGATGAAAGCGTATGAAATAAAGAAGCAATGAAATTTAGGTGATCGAATATAAATACATACATATATATATATAGAAAGAGAGTTAGAGGAGGGGCAGGTTATKTAGAAGTAAATAACGGGAAGTGTAATAGTAGACAGAAACAAAAGTGCAACTGTTATGTGCTGCTAAAGACTTTTGTGCTGTGAAAGAAAGAAAAAATTTTAAAACAACTATATTTAACAATATCGCCGATAGTCCATTTATTGTGACATATTTATGTAGCCATTGTACAAAAGAAAATGAAGAATGTAATTTAAACACGCATGTATTTATTGATGTGGATACTTAAAGTTATATATATGTGTACTTTTATATATATTTTTAACCCTTAAAGTATATACTAACACAACAACTGCAATAATGCGATACTGAATGCTATATTTCTGATGTAATTAAATTAATTGCAAAGAATAAACTATAATTTAATTGTAAATTATAAACGAAATTAATCAATTTACATTTAAAAGGAGTGGATATATATAAATAAATTGTGCTAAAATTTAGAGTATTTGTGAAAAGTGAAGAATTTATATGTTTCTAAAGTGCGTATAAAATACACTTTATTATAATATTATCATACTTGAAACGTAAGATAATTCATCGCTTCGAGGAAAAACAAATCGTACGTAATTGTCATTTTTCCCTATACCCTAATATACATTCATATGTTTATGCTTTGTATGTTTATCAATACAATAAAACCTGTCTTTAATATTTTCATAAATTTCCTTTTACTTTAAACGGCACCTTCATTAAAATACGAACATGCATATATGTACATACATGGTTATAAGTATATACTACATCGTTGCTTTATAGATTGTCATTTACATACAAACATATTTATCTCTTCAGACATCATATGTATGTACATACATATATTATATAACGCGTAATATTGTAATAATTGAAAGTCTGGGGTCTTTCAGAAAGGGGTTATTTAGTGCAATTTTAGTAGCCAATAACTAAAACCGTGTGTTCATAAAAGTTTCCGTAGGATTTAAAAATAATATTATATATTAGCTCGGGGATCATATGTTTTCTTTACTTTTTAAAAACTTAATAACCTAATTATTTACACTTAAAATGCATATATTGCTAAAYCTAATTTCTTTAAGTACCATATTTCAGGAAAATTTCGCAAGTTATTTATTTTGTTCACATCTAAGATATACATAAGTATAAAACTTAAAATAAACTTTGCCTTATTATTGAATTTCAACACTCAAATGTCTAATGTCTAATATTTTTGTATTTTCTTCTCTGTTATCAGCATTGTAATTTGTGTTGGCGCATTACTTAGGTAAACAACAATCTCAAATAATAGCTATCAAATACGCGACAAAAAGCATATGTACATCAAAGAAAAACGTACATTTATTTTGTGAAGCAGGCGATACCGCTCAGAGCAGCTGCTAAAGCAGAGGTGAGTAATTTGGACGTAGAATGTTGGAGTTACACTCAATTGTGAATACCTACTATGGTTCTCTAACAAAATTATTAATATATGTATGTAGGTAAGAGCAACTAACTCGGCTGAGCAGAGAGACAAACAATTAAAAGCTTGCAGACCTGAGAATTAACGAGAGCGTTTTAGCGCGACGAGAGTGTTTTGTTGACGTGCGTGTAAGTAAAGAGACTCAAAATTGATAGAAATAACAAGAAGGCTGCTGCAACTGGTACCTCTTCCGAGGACCAGCCGCCGCGCAAAAAAGGACGACGTTCAGCAGCAGGATCATCGGCAGCAGCCGCAGCGGGAGCTTCGATAACGACGACCGGATCCGCAGCAGCAGTAACTGATACAAGTGGAAGTAGTAGTCTCAGTACGATTGCGTCTATTGACGCAGACACAGCGTCGACTTCACGAGCGGCACAACAGCAGCAATCAAATCAAAATCAAAATATTCGTGAGAAACAAAATAGAGGTGAACCAAAAAGTAATAGTTGCGTAAACATCGAAACAACAGAGAATTTACAAGAAAATACAATAGGAAACACTTCGATTAGCAGTGATAGTATTGTAAGCGTCGTCAGTGGCGCMGTCGTTGACCGTAACATTGAAGTACTTGAAAATAATATTAATAGTAATAGTGGTAGCATAACAACAAATATGCAAAACTCAACACTGAATCCTACATTATCGAGCACATCCTCATCTGGATCGGGTTCGGTTGCGGGCTCCGCATCAGTGTCCGCGTCTGGTGGGCCTTCGGTTGGCACTTCATCTGCAGCAAATTCGGCAAATGATGAAGTTGGTAGTACAGTGGGGCATATTGGTGACTCGCTAGCTAATATACCTAGTTCTGTAAATTCATCAACGTCAACATCAAATGGACACGACACAAAACACAATGGATTTACCGGTACCAATGAGAGTGGCACTGAGGACCTACAAAACAATCACGATCAATCAATCGTGTCTATTGCCAATCATAATTTGCATTTGGACAAGTCTAATCAGGAGATAATACGTTTGATTGGCCAATATTTGCAGGATATAGGATTAGAGAAATCGGTAAAGACCTTAATGGCAGAATCCGGTTGTTACTTGGAACATCCAGCTGCATCGAAATTTAGAGAACATGTCTTGTCTGGAGAGTGGAACAAAGCTGACGTTGATTTAAAGGTGAGTGGGCACCAATTAAGAAAGTTTCAAAATTCATTACTATAGTATATTTAAAAAAATACATATATTAATATATATATATTATATATATTATAATATTTGTATACTCATTTTGCTTTTCTAATTTTGGATTATTCAACGACGTTTTGAACATTGTCATATTTAAGAAGTGTTTATTGCTATGGTATGATTAACCCATTAGACTTTCTGTATTAGTAGAGCTAACGTCCAACGCATTCGCTAACCATTGCCCTCTATTCGCACCCGCTCCAGTGCTACAAAACATTTTTGTACACAAACCTATGCATCAAGATATTTGGTTCACTCTTCTTTTATACGATTGTTTACATTCCACTAAAATAGCAGAAAAAAGCTAACTGCGTCAAAAAACCAAAAGAATTGTTAAAAAACGTTGAAAAGTGCTACTAACAAAAGTAAATTGATTGACATCTGGAGGAGAGCAGCGACAGCTAATATGCCAATGAGTGTCAGCTTTTACTTTTTCACATTTTTTATTATTGTGTGTGCGCTCTGTAAAAGCTTTTGGAGATTGCGCGCGCTCACTTGATGACTGGCTGGCTTTATGGTTTTATTTATAAGCGTAACCAACAGGCAAATATTTATGTATGTATAAAAAATTACAAAAACAGAAAATTGAAGTAAACCAAAGCAAATTGTAGCAAAACAAAGAAATCGAGTGGAAGATGTACAAAGAACCCACACTTAAAGGCTAACAAAAACACACATACATGTGGAAAATGTACAATGCCATATAAAAACTGATTTACTGCGTATGCTCTAGGTGGAGAGACTGATTTTGTCAGGTGTTTAATATGCATACATGTACATGTGTATACTTCATCCGATTGCAATATATTTCATTCAATACTCATTTTCTAATAATGAGTCGCAAATTGTTTGATAACCATAATATGTTAAAAATTGCATAGATTGTTATTAACTKCAGTTTGCGGCATAGTTCAATTACTCCATTGGCACAACTTGACTTATTTAATATATGATTTGTCTACTTTAGTTGGTTGTGTTTTTTCTAGTAGTTTGCTTAGCTTGGCTACGCATGATGAACTTCTTTGCTGATACACTTGCGTTATTCTAGTGTATGATGGTTCATACATATGTAGATAGATAGTAAACCGTGATGGGGTGGGTGTTATGTGCGTTGTAGAAATGTGTCTATCGAAACAAAGGAACTGCAGAAGTGCTTGTGATTTTACATGCTCAATGTAAAAGTATTCTTAATAGCAGCTGATTACCATGCATGTCGGGTCAATGTGCTCATACTTAGCTTTGTAAAATGCTATTCAAGAAAAGAGAGTACTGCGACAATAGCTAGCWAAGGCTTTATCTCACACCAGCTAGAAATTAGTTAGCTAGTTGGGATTTTTGAAGACGATTGATGTGCTTCGCATTTAGTTCCAATATATTATTTTTTATAAATTTAATATTTTGTAATTCACTATGTTTAACCGCTCGATTCTCATTTCGTAATTTATTAAGTTCGAAATCCATACGAATTCAATTATTTTTTATAATTTTTTTTTAATATAAAATATCATTAACACCAAATAATATACATAGATCTTACATGTACAAGACGGTATGTTTCTGCTATTYATCATTTTGAGCAGTTACATCTTTGTATTTTCGAATACTACTTCGAAAATGTAAACGTACCTATTTGGTGTATTTTAGTGATGTTGTGTGTAGTTATTTTCTCTTCGTTCCCTTCCTACCTTGATTATTTAAGTGATGTTGTAAGTAGCTGTCTGTCACTCATTTTGYTTCAACACTACTAATACTACTCTTTTGATAAAACGTTTATAAGTGAAAGCTGCCAGAAAATTGTTAGATGAACTCAAATCAAGAAGATGTGAGATACTCTAATGAACTGTTATAACAGCTGACTATTTTACCGCTATTCTATTATGCCAATTTATTGAAATTATGGTATTATTTGTTCGATTCACTACTCCCAAAGCTTAACCAATATAAGAAAGGTCGCATTTTAGTTTCAAACATTTTATTATTTGAGTATTAAGATATTTGAATGGTGAATAATTTCCTACACAATTGGATTGCTCTTGAGTTGTACTTGCAATTTATTCTTAATTTTTTACGCCAAGTGTATGGTAATTACATCGTCATCGCCACGACGATTTTAACATTTTATTTTTTAATTCAAGTTCAGTTACATTTATGRAATACATCTAGCATGGTAATTTAATGACGTTGACAAATAAACTATAATTATTTTAAAGAAAAATTTCGTTTTATCATTGCTCTTTGTTATTTTTATAACTTTTTACARCTTGCATTTGTTTATATTTGAACAATTTTAAGAGCGTAATACTCATTGCTTGCTCTCCTTATGCATATGTATTTAATTTTCCCACATTCGAAGGTATCAACAATCGTTTTCTTGTCGAACGACTAATTTCTGTATTGAATCAGTTTTAAAATATACCTTCAAAAGACTATTTTTAGAATTACCTACATACATGCATATTTACATATGGCAAACAAAAAATGTAAAACTCACGCGTACTCCAATGTAAAACGTTCTCCACGATAAAAATATGTGMATAACGTCAGAGTAATCCAGGGAGCGAGAGATGAATTTTTACTATCCATATGTTTATGTGATTTTTATTGACATTTAAAGAACATAAAAAAATTATCGGATTAATCTTTGCCGGGGAACAAAAAATTCAAAAATGGCGTCGACTTGAAAAAATCAATTTACTACCTTTTTTGACATTTGCGAATTTTTTTAATAATCTTTAAAATTTTCCAAAAGAGAGGAATTGGTTAGGTAGAACTTGAGATATGTCAACCAACTCTAAAAAAGTAGTTCAGAAAAAAATACGTTTAAAGTTTCGTTGTCCGCTAAACCAGTATTTAAAATAATTTGAATTTCGAAAAGTTGTTTTGGGTAGCTTTCTTAGATTCTGTCAAATTTTTAGACTAGAATACATTTATATGTTAAATCATTAATTAAAATAGTACCATTATCTTACAATTAAACTCGAATGAATTTAATTTTTTTCTATCGACAATAGGAACTTGAACCACTCATTGACAATGGCAAACCATCGACTATCATCGAAATGAAATTTTTACTATTAGAACAGAAGTACTTGGAATTTTTAGATGATGGCTGTCCATTGGATGCTTTGCATGTGCTACGTAATGAACTTACACCGCTACAGCACAACACTTCACGTGTTCACCAACTTTCCTCATATATGATGTGTTCGAATAATCATGATCTCTATCAACGCGCCAAATGGGAGGGCAAAGGCATATTATCACGTGCTGTGGTTATGGACCGTCTACAGGCATTCCTACCACCAACAGTAATGATGCCACCACGCCGTTTACGCCACTTACTCCAGCAGGCTGTAGAATTACAATCGGAACATTGCGATTTTCATGACATGGCGTTTAAAACAAATTTACAAAATATCTCATTGCTCACTGATCACACCTGTGACACAGATGGTTTTCCTATGCAAACTATACAGGTGCTCACCGATCATTGTGATGAGGTTTGGTATTGTAAATTCTCCCCAGATGGCCTTAAACTTGCTACAGGTAGTAAGGACTCTAGCGTTATCATTTGGGATGTGGATCCATATAAGTTGACACTAAAGCATCGTCGCATATTGGAAACGCAATCCAATATAAGCGTGGCTTTTGTTAGCTGGAGTCCAGATTCGAAATTGTTATTGGTGGGTGGACCTGATGACACACCCGAAATAAGCATATGGAATGTGGACGATGGCAAATTAATTCTGAAAATGTCGCAATCAGTAGATGATAGTCTGTCATGTGGTGCTTTCAGTCGTGATGGTAGTCGCTTCGTTTGTGGCGGCCAAAAGGGGCAATTCTACTTGTGCGATTTGAGTGGATCAATTCTTAATACTTGGGAAGGCGTACGGATTAATAGCGTTGCCTACCGCGCTGATAATAAGACTATAATAGCATCAGACAATCACTATCGTATCAGAGGGTAAGTTGCCCTTGAAACCATTTTTTTTTTTTTTTTTTGGAGTGGAAGCATTAAGAACTCTAATTTTTGTTTTTAGAGCATTTTATAAAGTGTGTCTTTACTTTGATTTTATTATATTTTTCCCATTTCGTTATTTTCAGCTACAACTTCGAAGACCCCGGTACAGATTTCGATATTCTCAAAGAACCGCATCCGATAATGACATTTACCGTAAATTCTGCCGATCGTCTGGCCTTGCTTAACATTTCCAGCCAAGGACTACATTTATGGGATTTGGAAGACAAGTGCTTAGTACGTCGGTTTCAGGGCATACGTCAAAGCAAATTCGCCATACATTCATGCTTTGGTGGGGTAAATGAGAGTTTTGTGGCGAGTGGTAGCGAAGATAAACTGGTTTGTATTTGGCATATAAAGCGCGAGGAGCCGTTGGGCAAACTGGCAGGTCATACAAAAACAGTAAATTGTGTCTCCTGGAATCCTATGTTTCCGTCCCTCTTGGCATCAGCTAGTGACGATGCCACCGTACGTATTTGGGGCCCGAAATCGCACAGTGCCAACGCCACACCCGAAAGTGATGACTGTTCGTCTTGTTCATCATCATCGTCATGGAATATGACATCGTAATTTAGCACACTTACGCATTACGCATATACACACCATAAAAGCGGTAATCAATAGAAAAAGCACACTATTATCGCTATAGCCACTTAGATAAAACAACTAAAATAGCAATAAATAGTAATAATAATCTATAAAGAAGGTTAATGGACAAAACAAAACAAAAACTAATTGGAAATTAACAGGCAAGCAGCAACTATCATTTAAAAATAAAACTATTATAAGAAAATAAAATATTTATATGAAATTTATTGAAAAACTACAAAAATAAAAGGGTGCGTAAAGTGCTGCACTTTTCGAAATTGACTTCGAAAAAAATGCTTGGCTAAATATCGCCATATTTAATGGCTAGATTAAGCGAGTTGATGGGGGCATGTCCGTTAAATAATTTCGCCATTAGATTTTAAGACAGGCAAAACAAAAAGAGCCCGATGTGCCCATTGTTTCTTTTCAAATATTAACTTTCTAAATGTAAGGGCCACAAATAAAATGCATACAGTTATACAAAATGTATGTTACAAGCAAATAATAGCAAGAAATAATTGTAACAGAGAGTTCGCTACAAAAATTAAATATTTATGAAAAATATAAGCCTGAAAGCAAAGAGAACTAAAATTCATTTAATTGAAGGGAAAATAAACGAATAAATACGAAACTAAGAGAAAATTAAATACAACAATTAAACTGGTTTAAAATTAATATATGGAATAAGCGTTAATAGTAATTAAACGAAAATTAGTACTGCAACGGGATAGCACGGATATTTGCAGTGGCGTGCATAAATTTAAATATTTAAAACAACTCATTTAAGTAATCAAATTTTTTAAACATAACAATGTAACATGTTTTGAGTATTATGCTCAATGCTAATAGCTTGAAGAACTCGATAAATCCAAACTCTATCCCTTCTCAAAACAGTTACTTCAAATATTACAGAACTCTTTAAAGTTTAACTGTCATCCGCGTTTAGCAATTTTTTTAATATGTTGAGGTTTTATAAGTTTTTATATGTATGCGTTTTTTGTTATTTTTCCCACATAAGCAAATAGTATACATAATAATTAAATAAATAATAAATATTTTTAACTTGACAATTTATATGTTCTGTTTAGCGATAATAGCAACATAGCTCTTAAGCTAGCGTTAATATACATAGTAAGAAACAATTAATGCGCCTTTTTTAATTAATTTTAATAATTTAAACATATACATATATAATATTTTAAAAATTGATGAAGTATACCATGTACTTATGTGCGCCACTCTGTTCAACTGTGCTACTTTCCCTTCTTAGTTATTTAAATGTTATATGTAAAATAAGAACTGTTCTTAAGTGATTACATAATAGTATATATACATATATAGATATATATATACCGGAAGTAAATAATATTTAAAAAAAAAGAAAAATGGGCGGGAAATGCAAAACAATTAATGCACGTAAGGCCAGCCTCCACAAATTATTATAAAAAAAAAACATCGAGCAGCGTACATTAACAACTTGTCGAGAATGTAATAAATTATTAGCAGAGATTTCATGCACACAAGCAAACAAAAAATTAAATATTATATGCATAGTGATAAATCAAAATTGAAATACAAACCTATTAAAATAATATACAAGCAGTGCATTAAAATGTGAAAATTAATGAACGATTTAACRTATGTACATACATATGTGTGTACACTATATTCAGACACAAACTTATCTGTTTGTGTAGACATATATAAAGAACATTTATAATTACGGTATTTAAGCGAATGATAATAAAGTACGTTTATATAAGACATATATTTTATAGTATAGCAATCCTTTTTTCGCTGTGGGTGGGTGAAAAATTAAATTTGGTGAAAGATGACCAATTTAAATATTCTACAAAATTATTTATAAACATTACTATTTTTTTTATTTTGAATTCAGATATCTCGCACTTGGAGCTAAAACCAAATCCCTTAATTGTGCCGTGTTTAGAAGATGAACATTTGAAAAAATGTTGGTAATGTTCAATAACACATAACTGCCTTTAACAATACAATTTGAATCAAAATATCGGTGGAAATATAGTTTACATGCTTGCGAAATAGTAATTGCAACATATATTATTATATTTCTTTTTTTATTCAAAAATATAATTCCAATATACAGACATATGGCGCTTAATAAACTCCTTTGCTAGATACACGGGCAATATAATGAAAAATGATTGCAGCTTTTGAACATTTCCAACAATGGCATAAATATAAACCAAAGCAAGTAGATGGTGACCTTTAACCAATATTTGATGGATGTTGGCACCCAAATCTGTAGTATTCTCACGCCACACTATCAGCGGGAGGAGGAAAATTTTCGAAAAATTTGCTATTGTCAACGCTTTTAATAAAATTAAAGCAAATTTATTATAACCAGTGCTTTCAACCAACCGTGGATTATGTACATAGGTCACAGCAAACAAAATCAAAGTAGTAATGCAGTAATCTGAAAAGAAAAACAAAGGTGTTTGAATGTATTGAATTTGTTTTGCGAATAGTAGAGCTTTATTTAAATAAACACATTTTCTTGAATCATTTACCAATTATATTTTGCAAGCAGCATATGTAAAAGCCCTTTTCGCTGATAATTTCATTTTGCAAAGCGTCCTGTTTAGTGCTTCCTTTTTGTCTCCATAACGCGAAAGACTCTAGCAGCAGTAACACAAGTGATAATTTCCAGTTCAGCTAATGGTTACATATTCCACATATTTAGTTCATCAAATTTTATTTAAGTTCACGCCGTATTACCTTAAAATCACGGTTATGTAGCATATGCCTATAAGACTCTTGGGACAATAGCATCGCATCCACCAGAATTATTATTGGATCAAATTCAATATATTTGTCCGCCACTTTGTGGCAATTTTCCTAATGTTAAATAAAATTACTCAGTAAAAAAGTAAGTAATATTTTGGTACCTATTTTAAAATGGACATACGCATTGATTTGTTTTGATTGCAGTGTTACTATACTTTCTATACAATTCGGCTATAGGATGTCCACAATTTATGCAAACATATTGCTTTTGCTGCTTTGAGTATGCAGGTTTTAACTGTGATGCTAGCTTTCCCATTTTTATCCAATATATATTTATTAAATATGTATATATTTTTATACTTTATTATGCGGCAGAAGATTTTAATATTTGCAACACTCTTTGATTTGTATTTTTATTATACTTCCTCTTCACTTTATACGTAAATAAACCTTACTACATATACAGAAACATTTAAATATTAAAAAATATAAAACATTTTTTAAAGACTTAATTCAATAAACAACTACCATATCTAAATTTACGGAAGGCACTGATTATATATAAATTATTTTACATAATTTTTATATCACTATTATTTTTTTATTAATTTTCCTTTGAAGGCAGGAAACTCTGTTATAAACAGCTGATTCACAAAACTGTTTTTGACAGCATTATTTTTTAAATTCGTTTATTCTATTATGACGAAATTCATTATCTTGTTTTAATTCTATGCTGATAAAAGTTTTATAAAAAATGTTGGAGAAAGTGAAACATGTTGTATTAGTTTTGTCCGGAAAAGGAGGTGTGGGCAAATCAACTGTTAGCACACAACTTGCACTAGCGTTGCGGGAAAGCGGTTTGAAGGTGCCTTAAATATTAAATAGAATACATTATTTCAATCCTGTTATTTCGTAGGTTGGCCTACTAGATATAGATTTATGTGGCCCGAGTGTTCCTTTCCTCCTTGGTTTAGAACAAAGTGATGTCTACCAATGTGATGAAGGCTGGGTGCCCATTTACACTGGGGAAGATAAAACTCTCGCTGTCATGTCAATTGGTTTTTTATTGAAAAATCGCAATGATCCCGTAATTTGGAGAGGCCCTAAGAAAACCATGATGATACGACAGTTTTTAACCGATGTCAAATGGGACGAGTTGGACTACTTGATTATTGATACACCACCAGGAACTTCAGATGAACATATAACAGTGATGGAATGTATGCGAGATGTAAAATGTGATGGCGCTATTATGGTTACCACCCCACAGGGCGTTGCTTTAGACGATGTACGAAAGGAACTGACCTTTTGTCGTAAAACCGGTGTTAAAGTGTTGGGGATTGTGGAAAATATGAGTGGGTATGTTGGTTTTTATTTGTAACGAGCTGCGATTCAGTTTGAAAGTGATGTGCTACGATTAATTTATTTGTTATAGATTCGTATGCCCAAAATGCAGCAACTGCACAAATATATTTTCCTCTGATGGGGGTGTTCAGTTGGCCAAACGAGCTGGTGTTCCACATCTGGGAACATTACCAATTGATCCACGAATTAGTGTATTAGTGGGTACGACACGATCTGTACTTACGGAATTACCGGATTCCAACACAGCGAAAATATTTAAGTCAATTGCAAAGCAGATTACAAGCGCCAATTCCGAATCAAATAGTACAGATTGAGTGTGTATATGTATGTTAACATTTTAATAGTAAACGCTGTGAATTTTTTGAAAATGTTTGTATATGTACTTTTCTTTTTATTTTGTTCCTTATTCTTTATCGAGGGTTACAGACATTTGTATCAATATTTTATCGAAATTCCGATTATCGATAAATTTATTTATGAAGTCGGTAAAGAAATTTATCTATAATTACTTTTATTTAAATAAGTGGAATTTTTTTAATACCTTTCAGGGTTTTTAATAAATACCAAATTTAATTAAAAAATATTATTACGTTCTCAATTGAGGGTTAATTTATTTGTGAATGCAGTACTGTCGACGAATTAGAGAAATGTGGTAAGTCGTTTTGACATTAGTTTTCTATTGCAGCCAACTTCATTTATATATGTAAATTTTCACTTCTGCAAGAAAAAGTAAAACACCGTATATGTGCGCCAAACACTTACATTTTTCAGTGATATTTCCAGAAAAAGTTATAAATTTAATTCTAAAGTACAGTTTAATAGTGCAAATATGCGATTCATAATATATTTTATAAATATATTCAGACGTTTGTGAGAAAAGCGCGCTATACTTCTTGCGTCGAATGGGACATTGAAGCACTAGTCTTTGACGCCATGTTTAATTTCTAACCATCAGCACTCCTATTAAATTATTGAAGGGGTGAGACGAGTAGGCCGGGTGGCAAGTTGTAGTGGAATGATTTAAGCAAATCTCAAGCGCATTTTGAAGTGTTGAAAGAAGTGAGAAATGTATATAATTGTAATTTACATAAATTTATTAGTATTAGATGGTTGTATATAAGTACACAAAAATGGAAATATGAGCTTTCTCCAAACAGTGGAATTATTTAAAACTCTAAAAATAAATACCAATATAATTTATGCAACAAAAGCTACGTGAGAGTATGGCTCTCTAAACGATTACAGTATAAAGAGGATCAACAAAAACATTTACAAAAAGAGTAACGACAACAAAACCAACAATAACTAGAAATGTATATAGATAATTGTACCCTAGTGGGAAAACCAGCGGACAGGTGAATTTGTTTAGTAAGTTTTCAACTGGTAAGCTTAGCAGTTGAGCACAACTTAACCTGGTCAAAAAAAAAGTACTCAAACTCAATTGCGAAAAATATATTGTGGAAATGTTTATTTTCTTTTTAAAGTAAAAAACGGTAACTAGGATATTGAATGTTGTTAAACTTGTATAATCTGGGTGTAGTTATACTCACGACTGGTGGTCGAATTTAAATAACACATTTAAAAATAAACTTTTGCTGAACACTTGGCCTCATAGAAATAAATGTACAAAAAATCATACTTTAAAACTCTAATATTTCAGATATATTATGCCTAATTTTGAAAAGATTGTTTGTAACACCATTTAATGTTTCATGATTGTTTACATAAAGAAAACGTAAAGAAAAAATTCGAAATATAAAATTTCTAGTCTTCTAAATTTGCTTATATGTTTTACGCAAAGTTCTAAATTATTCAATATGTTTTTCAGGCGCCGCATTTATAGCATCATGTGGGATAAGGAGGCCTCACAAATCAAAAAACCTGAGGACACCTCCGTCGAAGGAAACACCGAAAATGCCACCTCACAATACTTCAAAACAAATAATTTAACAGAAAATGTTTCAGCGAGAGCAGATAAAGTGGTGGTTGCAACATATGTTGTCCGAGATGACGATGATTGCGCCAGTAATAGAAAAAACGTAAATGATGGCCCAAAGTCTTTGGCCGCAGAACAAAGCGATATCGACAGTTTTCTGCCGATTGTACAATTATGTGATGGAACATCGACAAGCTCCTTTTCAAAGAAAAAAGAATTGCCAACATCTGCAGTAGCGATAGCAGCTGCAGCTAAGGAAATAACTTTCGCGGAGGACTCAATTGTATCTTTTGATAATAATGAATTGCCATATAAAAATATAAATGCAGATACTAAAACTCTATCCTCTATGCAATCTAATAGACCAGTAATTCCATTAAAATATGACAGTCCAATAGCCAGAAAATCGGCTGAGAATATACAGGTTCAAAACGATAATGTGGCTGGTCCACAAATACAGACTTTTTATGACAAACAACTTACCCTCCAAGCAGAAGATTTGCATGCGCCAACAAGAGAATATTCTCCAGCAGTTTCCGTTGAAGATCTCACATCAGTGTCGGAAATGCGTGCTGGTTCGCCCACCCCATCAAGCATTACAAGTGCTTCAACTCTCCGAGCCGCAAGAGGTATGAGTGGACGTCGAACGGACTGCTTGCGACATATGAGACGACCACCCAAAGAACCTGAAGAATACCTAGATGCATTGTTTCCGCATATACGTAAAACTCATATGCAAATTCGTCAAGCTTTATTGCATACACCGCTTACAGATGTTAAAGATAATGCATTGCTAAAGAAAAAAATGTTGGAGCTAATTCAGATTTACACTTGGTAATATAATTCTTTTAAATTTTTTGAATAGTAATAATCATGTCTTGTAACACCTTTTTCAGTGGTTGTAGAGATGAATTCGAGAGAGTGGGACCCTCGCTTGTACTCTGTCGTAGACTGAAGAGAAATATTATACGACTTCTTGATTTGTTTCATGAAATTTGTTCATCTAGTCGTGAGGTAAATTAATAACTATTGCAAATATATATATAAATATATAACTTACTTTGTACATGAAATTTATAGGATCGCGCCTATTTGTACCATATTAGCCAACTAATCGCAGTGTATACTTCCCTTGAAATAAGATTGTCCTTTAATTTGACAAGACAACAGAAATGTGCGCTAATTCACCGCATATCCCACATCATAAATAAACATTTAATGGTTAAGAATGAGGTAAGTTTATTAATTGTTAATCACATCAATTTTCACAAAATTTATTATTATTTTTTAATGAATTTTAGCCTTTGGCCAAAGAGAACATACTGCGAATGTTCCTTCACATGCCCGATACATATTCAGCACGTTTTATAATGGAACCGCTTTTCAAGTAAAACATTTATACATGTATATTATTAATCGCAAAAATATTAAAATTTATTAATTTAATTTAGCACCTATTTGGTAGAAATCGCCACGAGCAGTAACACATGGTGTCAAAAAGAAATGCCAGATAAGCTATTTGTGCAATACATTATAATATTGCATATATGGAAGGAGATGCTGCGAGATCCACTTGAACAAGTAGAACTAATTAACCGTGCCCAACATTTTATGTGCCCAACCAAGACGCTACATGCAAATCCAATGTATGCTAATCATCTACCAACGATACACACACGCAAGCATGCAGTTAAAGATATCTTAAATAGTCTAAAATTTTTTCATGATTTGAGAAATGTAAGATCGATATATAATTATAATTTTATTGCATAATAATTTTTTTCTACATTAGGCAGCAATTTGTGATGATACATTGAATGACGGAGAAGATGACATTGCAGTTGTTATAGTAAGTATAATCAAATAACTTGACCTTTTATTTTGTACATGATGTTTAAGTAAAAGGTCTGAGGCTGAAGTTGAACATCATAGCCAAAACAATGGTGAGCAGTTAGTCGCCATCATTGTGATTACGCTTTGCTTTTTCGCTTGAGTACATGACTAAAACCTTAACTGATTAATTGAAAAAAAATTTATAATTTAGTTATTAAAATATACACGTAATTATTAAGTTATATATTTCTATTTCCAGGATGAAGTTATAAATACGCCTTTTTGGGATTTTGGTGCCACCTATACAGGAGCATCCAAACAGCCGAAGAGCTTATACCGCAGAATACCAGCAGCAGACCAAACCGAATGTGTGGATCTGACACAGGAAGATGATCAACAGTCAATTTTTGACTCGGCAGATAAACCTTTAGAATGGCTTACTAAGCTGAAAGAGCATGCAGCAGAGAGAGTGCAAGTTGATGAGTCGGAAAAGGTTATTTGCTTAGACTCTGATTCCGATGGCGAATTGTTCTCTGGCAGTATACTAGATCCATCAGAATCATATCAAGATTGTGATGCTTTCGATACCGATTACACAAGTCTCGATGGTGGCACAAGTGATGATAAAGAGTTATCTGAAGATGAGGCGCTATCAGCAAATGGAATTACGCCCAATTGTCTTAGAACTTACCTCGCGCCTAGAACTAAAAATCAGATCAGGTCAGAACCTTATGAAAGAACAAGAGATTGTGATGGTGAGGGTGACAGCGCAGCAGTCGGTTCGAAAAAGTCGGCGGCTGTCTCAACGGCGGAACCCACAGTACCGCTCATTGTTAACTCTTTTACCGTTAGGGGTAAACAAAATATGCATTTGTTGAATTCACCTCGGTTTAGCCTAGACATTGGACCAGAACGTTTCGGGAATGAAGATATAGAATTTCACGATGCATGCGATGAAATGAGTTTAAACTTCAAGGCAACAAAAAATTATAATAAACGTGCTGATAGTGCTGTTGTTAATGACGGTTCAGCTGGCCGTAGCGTTGGTGGCTATTATAGAAAAGAAGTTAACACCGATGATGAAGAAGAAGATGATGAATACCAATCCTTGCCATCTACAGCATCGTCATCAACAACAACACTAGGCAAAGTTATATTTTCACAGGCGCTACAGCGGCCTAGTCAACAATTCTTTACGGGGTATGAGCGTGCAAACAGTCATAAACGTGCAGATAGCAAAGAGAAAACTGTTACATTTAACGAACGAAACAAGGCAGATAGCAAGAAACAAATGGTAAATATAAGTACATAAATCTGTAAGAACTATAATTAGGGTTGCAAATAATGAATTCAAAAAATAATTGAATTAACTTTTGAAATAATATTTTCTTAATTTTGTAATCCCAATTACGGCATTAAATTCGGTCTAAAAATAAAATTTTGGGATGTTGGTAAAAAATTAAATTAGTTTTTAATCCCAACATCGGGCTTTAAAAATATAAATTTTAATTTTCAATCCAAAATTCTTTAATTATAAAATTCCCAATCCCGGCTGTAAGGTATAATAGCATGTAAATAATATTTTTTCTTTCAGCATGGCCAAGACAAACCGGTCAAAAAACAAGTGAAATTCAACGATAACCCCATTGGACCGACCCGTCGTCCCCATACCAAATTGCCGATAAAACCAGCTATACATCTTAGTAAAATCCAACCCAGCAGTCGACAGCCTATTTTCTCAAGTTCACCCCAACCACGTTTCTCATCACCGTCATCTTCAACCTCTTCCACAAGCGAATCACTTAAGCAAATGGCACAAAAAGGTAGGAATTTCGTTGACATAATTAAAACATGTAAATATACGAAAATATCTAAAAGTTCTTCCACAATAATACTTGATTCCGATGATGATGATGATATTATTGACATTAATGTTAGTGCAAATAAAAACACGAATTTAGTTTCTACTCAACCAATTCAAAGTAAAAACACCTACGAAAAAAGTATATCCTTTTGTAATAGCAATATGTCCAAAATGCAAGCGTGTGATGTTTTAAATAGCACTACAATGAAACTTGGGCCAAAAGATATTTCATCAACCAATAAATTACGAAACAAAAGTGTTGACATTATGCATATTTCTGGCGATGAGAGTCGTGATAATACTGCTAGTATTGTTGATAATAATGTAAGAGGATTGGAAAAACAATTAGAAAGAGAAGAGCAGAATTCGAATGTTTCAACAACTACAGGGCCTAATGTAGATTCTAGCACTGGAGAGGACGATAATAGCATAGGTTTAGTTAACGAAAAGTGTAGCGAAAAACAAGCAATTGCTAATGTAGAGAGCACAAGTAAAGAAGAGGATTATAGGGCACATTCCTTGGAGTTAATAACAGGTAGTGATATTTGTACTAGTACGAGTACAGAGACATATGTGCAGAGTACCGAGTGTAGTGTACAGAACTTTAAATCAGTCCAATACACAACAACACAATCCAGTTCCAACGCTGATGCGGGGGGAGTTGTTGGAAGTGTGATGTTGGTGGCTAATATCATTGGTAACGAAAATGTGGACACAGCCGAAGAAAATGCTGATAAGCTATTGGATATTGAAGCAGAATTGAATATGTCTGTAACACATGTAGATGATTTTACCGACGAGAATACATTAAAAACGGTGATTTGTGAGAATAAAAGTGGCTTAGAAGAAAAAAACAATTGTTTTGCTCAAACCGCGGTATTATCGCAATATCTTGTTAGGCAAAGCCCTAATAAAGTTGATGAAAATGTGTACGCTACTGAGAACTCCGATAACAAGGCTTCAAACCAAGAAGAAACAGTTTTTACTGAAACATTGCAAAGCGATATTGCGACATGTACAGAATCTTGGGAACCAGTGAACGAACAGATTTTGGAAAACAATTTCGATGTTGCGGAAAAGAGCTTAAGTAACACGGAAAAAATAAACGAAGACAAGAATTGCACTGATTCTATAACACCGGAAACAAATACCAGAATCGAAGAAAGCTGTAATAATCAGTCAAAAGAGTACGAGTTTGAAGAAACTTTAGATACTAAAGAAAGTTTAGATAATAATTCGCAAGAAACTCAATCTCAAGTAGCAAGAGATAATTTGGCAGTGCATATAACTGAAACAAAAGAATATGTTGTTGATACTGCAGAAATTCCCGAAGATGTTGCTGCTATATCTAACATTGTACCGACTACTAAGATTGCCACAACTGAAGAGAGTCTGTTACTTACAGAAGGCCAAGTTGTTGAAGAGCTGCTGCTGTTTGAGGCCGGGCGTAATACTACCGAAACAAATGTAATAATACAGGATATCTTAAGACAGGAAAGTGAGAATAAAATCTTGGAAGAGATCGTCACTAGTGTTGTGGAACATGATGTGCAAGAAAGAGCCACTCACTCATCGGCTGAAAATGAAATACCCGTTGCAACTAATATATATCACGTAGAGGATATGGAAATTGACAGTGTGACAAATGAAATGACGGCGATTAATGCTGATGCAACCGCTATAATTATAGACGAATCAACAATCCGAGAGACACTAATGACAGCTAATGTAAGCGAAAATAATATACCGACATATAGCGGTGGGAAATCTAACTATACGGTAAGTGCTGTATTTGAAGAGTGCATGGCAGGATCGAATGAAAATAAATCGGATTTAAAAACACCTTGTACTGAAGCGGAACAGAATATCAGCTTCAATATTCATTTAGAAAATACAAGTATGGGACAGGTAGATAAAGAAAAAGTTACTAGCAATGAAATAGAGCATAGGGAATGTTTAGAAATCGCTCCAAAAAGTGTTGATGCTAATGTAGACATGGTTCAAACTGAGAAAATGGTAGTTCCTAATGACATATTTAAACCTACAATTGCAAAGAACGATGGCCTCGCCTGCTTGGTAGCAGCTGTCAAATCGGTTGAAGCGCTGACCTTTACTACACAAGTATCTGAATATATAGTGCCTGCTGAAAGAGAAACCCGTGACGGCAATGAAAACACAGGTGATGCCAAAAATTTACTACCGCCTTATACGAATTTAACTACACTATCAGAAGCTCTTGTAACGCCAAAAACAAATGCGAATGTAACTGAACAAGTTATTGATAGGCTTGACAATAGCTTAAGGACAAGTGATACCTGCATACTAGTAAAACCGAAAACAACTGAGTCAAATAGCATTTATTTTAGTGGTGACGGTCCCAAAACTAATTTGGAGCGGCTCGCCGAAGCTGCAGTACAAAAATATGGCGAGCATGTGGCTGATCGTGAAATTGTGGAGCATATTAAGACGAAATGCAAGGAGTCTGCTTTTGAAACAAGTTCTGCAGAAAATATTAAAATCAAATCGGATGTTATGTTAAGATCTCAGACCGGTATTATTAATAATGCTATCGAAACCGATAGCGCCAATGCTGTTTTTCGTGCCAAATCGCAAGCCGATAAGCACCAGAAAGTTTCTCGCAAACAACTCGAAACTACTGCTGTTACTGTTGATAACATTCAAGTCTCGCAAACTATCGATTACGATATGCAGATATTTAATTTGAGAGACAATGTGCAGCATATCCAAGATTCGGCCAAGTCTGCAGCAACATGTAACTTGAAAATAGTGAATATCTCCAAAAGTTCGCAAGACACCAAAAAATCCGGAAATTCCGACAATGTTTCTTTTGTTTCTAAATCGCCAAAACCGGGTTCAACGTTTCTTTCACATTTTGAAAGCTTCATAAGTACACTAAAAGATAAACAAGGTACCAAGTACGAAGTAAAAGAACAACGTAGATCACCCCGAACGCCAAAGCCAACAACAACTAAGATTCCATCTACTAGCGAAAGTGCAAAATCTGTCGTAGTTAACACAAAAGCACAAAATCAAAATATTGTAAAAAATTTGCATAAAAACACTTCGGATTTAGTAATAACGAACAAAGTCAGTGTAGGAGCACCGACACAACATAGCCCAAAAGAGTCTACATCTTCGGATAGCGAGCTTTCCAACGTTGGTGTGGGCGTTGGCGAGTCTTCGTTTAGAAAGAGATACAGTTTGCGCAAGCCTGAGCAATGGAAAGTGATCAGAAATACAAGTCTACGAGCCTCCCCACCCGAAAGCATAGACACCATAAAGCCTGTCAACAATACACGTACCAAGCGCTGTATAAAAATACGCTTAGCAAGAGCAAAAGTACCAACAAAAGTCGAGAAAAAGGAGCCACCAGTAAGCACAGCGCAGAACGAGTTAAATTTAGAAACGGAGTTCGGTGATGTGTCACATCGTCCGATAACAAGAAGACTTGCCGCAGCACTCAATTCAAGTCTTCAAATGATCACGGAGAATGCAGTTATTGAACCGATTAAACCATTTGCACGGGGAAGAAAATCAAAATCCAAAGTGCATGCTGCGTTGGCACAGAATACACCAACGAAACGTAGAAAATGTGAAAATATAGTAAGCGAAAAAGTTCTTGAACCAAAAAGCTGTAAAGAACCCGCTTTTAGTAATAAAGAAATATATGACTTGAAAGAATTAAGAAAACATTGTGCTTTAGAATTGTCACCAAAGTCGCATTCTGAACCGCCTGTTGTTGCCAAAATATTACAAAATAAACAGCTTGACGATTTTGAAATGCTTTCAGTTGAACCCACTTGTTTTCCTGAAGAGCGTTCGGCGAAGCGTATGAAAATCGAAAAACGAGAGAATGTCGCAAAAAATAGTGGCAATGAAACAGTGACAACAGCGCAAAATGCAGAAAGCGACCCGTTTACTTTTGAGACAGTTTTCGTAAAACCTACCCTCGTCCTCAAAAATTTAAAACCTGTAAACCTCAGTTCAGCCAAAGAAATCAACAAACTACAACAGCAAACTATTGAAGAATCGGAAACAGTGAAAAGCATAAATAAGAGATATCCTAAGCGAAATCAAGTTGCATTAAATCACAATTCAACAGTTAAAGCTGTGGTACAAAAGGAAAAATTAGAGGATGAGAAAATACAAGAGAAAGCGAAACTAAAATACTCCGAAAATAGTATTGAAAGTAACTGCGCAGCGCTAAAGGAAGAAAGCGCGTTAACAAACGACGGCAAACAGTCGCTACCAGCCAATGATAAAATCACAGTGGAAGATCCAAAACGTCTATATGATCAAGGATTACAATTAACCGATAATCGTATGAAACCAGATAACGCAGTAATCATGGATAAAATACCTATTGCCAATGATGTAAATTTAACGGTTTCAATTAAAAATAGTAATGAAACTAGTGGTGAGGTTTTAAGCCAAAAATCATGTTTAACGCAAAATAAAGACTTGGCCGAGAAAACTGTAAATAAAAGTTACCCTGCTTTTAGAGAATCAGAACTCAAAACACAGGCTGACATTATACCCCGTGGTGGAAGTCATAGGTCAAGCGAGTCTGAGGCTGCAAGTGTATTGGATTGTATTAAAACAATTGATTTAGAAAAGGTAAATTTAGAAAGAACAGACGAAACTGAGGTTTTTACTAGAGATTCAGTTTCCAACACGCAAGAGGTTGTAAAACACTTCAATGGCAGCTCGTCAATATGTGCTACAAAAGAAACAAGTGCATTGGTTTCAGGTGAAGATATGAGAAATTTGATGAAAACTAGTAATTTAGATAAAACTTTAACAACGGATAAAACTAGTGTTGTAGATGAAGATGTAAATAAAATTTGCGCTGAAAGAAGAGCTTATATTGAGGACTCAGTTTTGAATAGACAGGATGTTGTAACACTCCTCGATGAAAGTGCTTTCAGAGCCGATTTC